CTAGATGGTGCGAAGTGGATTCTGTCCCTCAACCGTGATTGTCGACCTTTTGGTTTCCCTTCAATAACCAACCAAAAGAGGGTAACCCTTACAAAAAGAAGAGACATCCACGTGGAAATTAATATATTGCCTAGTAGCGATGGATTCCCTTTAACACCAACAGGGGAAAATAGCAAATATGAATCTTCTCAGAAAACCACCAGAACCCCAGGGGAAACGGATCCGGTTTTTGAAAAGAATGACGATTGAGCAGAATGGGATTTGACTCACCCTAGAATGTTTAGTGGTGTCCATCGGTTTCCAAGGTTGACCTGGTTCAATTGTTCACTCGGTTGCTTTCTGCTCCCCTGCTAAAAGTTTAACTTTGAGTGGTTAAGTGGAAAACTCATGAGTTGGCAAAAAGTTGTTCAGTCCTAACAGCCCTTAGCAAAATGCACCAAAGGTTCCTTGGCGTGGTTTCCACTAGTGGCAGAAGCAACGCGCTGATCCAGAAATTCGCTTCGCCTCCAGGACCTCCAGACCCGCCAGCGGCTGCGCCGCCAGCCAGCGGCTCAGGACTTGGGCGCCCGGCCAAACCCGCCACCCGTGGCTCGTCAGCGTCTCAGCCTCCTCGCGGGGAGCAGCTTGGAACGCCAGAGCAAACCGGTCCCTCTCTGAGTCTCCTCAATGCAAGCGACGGTTGAGGCCTAATACCAACATTTTAGGGGACAATGACAACCCCTGACTAGAAAGAGATAATCAAAACAACTAGGTCCTCCAGTAGAGAGGTTAGAATCAGGGTACCAATTCTTTTCTCTACTTCAGTAGGGCAACCCTCCCCCAAAGAAGGGTAAAAGGGCACTACACGGGGGACCTAGCTACACTTCTTGGAAGCTTTGTCCTTTCCACCCCCTAAACGTATGTTTTGTCTGCAGTCCCTGCGAAACATGAGCACCCAAACAATGATATTTAAACAAATAAACAAAACCTCAAAGAGATGCGAACAGTGAAGCTGAAGTTGAACCCTGACAAAAAGCAGAACGCGGAGTCTCGAATCTCCGGAAGCTAAAGGAACCCAAAGTTGAGGTAGATCCATACGGCGATGAATTTTCATGAAACAACATTTTGTTTTGCGATGTGGTTCACTTCCTGAGTGGATTGCCCAAAAGAAGTCCCACTAATTTGGTCTTCCCAAAAAGCATGAAGTCCAGGAACTCGGGAAGTGAGCTGGTCATTCATTGATGGTTTCAAGCACTCCTGCCTATAAAACCCTGAAGTCAAAACCATTAAAACAAAAACATTTGCCATACACTGCTATCTTCCAAGTGGCATTTCCTGATCCTAGACCTCCATTTGCTCAAGTCCCCTGGAAACAATAAAACAAATCCAGTAGTGATAGATTCCCTTTAAAACCGACAGGGAGAAAAAATATTAAGCAAACGGAAGTAGAAGCCCGCAGGTTTTTTGGGCTCACTGGGTAGCAACCTTCCCCATGCTCCTGCGCTGTGCTGAGCTTTACCCTTACCGCAGACTCGGTGCCGTTCGACTTCCAGTGGAAGGAGAACCACTCAGAGCTCGGCTCCTGCGGTTCACTCCAAGGCTAGGGAGAGGCTCGGAACAACCCTATCCTCAGAATCGTATCGCTTTTCTTCGTATCTCCAAGGCACTTTTCAAACCACCAAGACCCGGCCCCTTGCCCAGTTGCAGATTCAATCCCTACCAGTGGAAACAAATCAGGTTGCAATAGACCCCAAGTGCACCAAATGGTGCCCCAATTCCCCCACCCCTGAAATCCACGCTCCTCGCCCAGCAGTTGGTTCAGTTCCTGCGCCAACTGCACCAACTTGGGCTCGGGCCGGTGCTCCAACTGCTTCAGCGCCGACCGCAGCCCCGTCGGGCGGAAGTCCCGCTCCTGTCGCTCTTGCGAAACGGGAAGCGCATGAATCAAGCCCAAAAGTGAAGGCGTGTATCAGAAAGGCTGTTTAAGGCAGCCCCCAGCCACAAACAGGTTGCACAAAAGGCAAAAAGAGACACACACACACACATGGCGTGGAGTTATGCCAGGTAACGTTAACCCCGGATTAATAAACCCCTGGTTGATTAATAGGGGGGGTGTCCCCTTTTAGTGGGGACTCAGACCACTTTGGGAGGGAACACCCCCCCTAATCGTGGGACAGGTTCTACTTAGATCCTGGGTCAACATTAAGCTTCAAGGTCAAAAACCCACATGGGCACAGGGAACAAAGCAAGAAGGCCAGATCACTTCGTCACATTCCGCAGAGCTTATGGAGGACCACCGTCTTCCCCAGGTCGAGACACAACGAGACTTCAAGAATTGGCGGACACCTCCTAGGTCCTCCAGATTTCAGAGGTCAGAATAAGTTGGTACCCGATCTTCTTTTTTTTGTCTATTTGAGTAGGGGAACCCTCCCAGCCAAAAAACAGGGTGAGAAAGGGCACTACTGGGTGACCTAGCCTCCCTTGAAACACCGACAAAAACAGCCCGAGGGTAGCACCAGTGTTTCGCCCTGATGTGGTTGTTTTGAGGGGTCGGGCTCCAATTAAGGGCCCGCGTGTCTGCACCTTCCCCGGACCTCCAACTGGCATCTCTCGTTGTGGACAAATACAGTTTCTGTGATATCAAAGTGAAGCCTGCGCAAGTGACGACTGACTCTCACTTAAAATGGCTTCACTTAGTATCATAGGAGCCGGCTGGCACTTCCCGAAGTCGTCCTACCTTTTTCTTCGTGCCGTTTGCGTCGGGGAGAACATCTCACCAACGACCAGCCATTCAAGGGGTACCTTCCATTTCCATTCTTGCCAGGAATCCTTCTTTCTAGGGAACCCCCAGAAACCCGGGGAAAAAACAAATAACGGCAGGATTTTGAAACGAACAATGGTTCAAAAGAATGGCTGAAATTAACCCCTAGAGCCATGGAAAGCCCTGTCTCTCCTGGAGGAGTTGTCGGAAGCCCCGTGCCGCGGCTTCGGCGATCTGCGCGTCTTTGGCGCGGAGGCTGTGGACCAAGAACTGCAGCAGCTCTTGGTCCGCCTCGCGGATGGGGTCTAAAGGGAAAAAAGAAGAAGAACCAACCACCAAGCATCCACCAACAGGGATCCTTACATTATACACCTGAACATTGCAACTTGTAAATGGTGGTTTATTTCCCTTTAGTTTGGTGGAAAAAGCAACATGTTTCAAACGGTTGCAAAATGGAGATCTTTTAAGGAGCCCTGACCAACCACTTGTTTTGACATTTCCGAAGTTTCAAGCTTCCAAAAGGCAGTTGGAGGGTCTTCTCAGTTGCCCCGGATGGGACCCAGACATATATCCGGTGAGATCAGCGTGTGGGGCCATGACTATGTAAAAGTGGAAACCCAAAATCCGGAAACCAAGAGGTCCAAAGGTCGATCTGTTTGGGCAAGTGAGTCTGTTGTGAACATCTTGACAGGTTTTCCAAATGTTTAGGCCGGGTTCCTGTTTTCCACCATTGAGCGTGATTTGGAGGATGTTTGGGCAAAACTACAAAATGCCCACTCTGTCCCAGAGGGGAAATGACGGATCCCCCGCCCAGGAAAGGACCTTTACATTTTGCGGGCTCGTTTTTCCAACGGTGAGCTCGCTATAATATGCCACATGTATCAATTCACTCTACCCCTGAAAAAGATTCAACATGAGCGGTGCCGAAAACCTGGCGCATAAAACCCACGAACCCTTTCGCGCTGCTTTCGCGGCCACTCGATTCACTTTCGCGGGCATGTCTGTTTCAAGGATCACTGAGCTTTCACGGCGGGTTTTCTAAAGTCAAGTCATTTGCAGCTGGGCTGGGACACAAGCAAAGTTTATCTTTTTCCAAGCCAGCCCAGAAGAACTGCCTGGAGTCTCCATGACCCTTCAAACATGGGGGTATTGCCTAACACAATGGGGTCATTGACCCATTTTTATGGAGACTCCAGGAGACTTTTTGGAGATTCCGTTGGCGTGTAGTGCTTCCCATCTGACCCCTGGCATTTTGCTTCCCTTTGGCGCGCAAGAAGGGACTGGAACCGCCCACTTCTGCTCTCAGCGAGTAGAATCGAGTGCACTTTCTGACCTGGGGTCCAGATTCATGGAGGTGCGGTTTCTCTCGTCTTCGGAGCTTGTTTCTTGTATTCTTGGGATGTCGGTGTGCCTCTGCCTGTTTGCGCACCTATCCTCAAAAAAACAAATGGCACGCGAGGGTTTGAAGGTCCGAGGGTGCGAGGCGCTGAGCCGCAGCCGACGCAGAGAATGCCGTCGCCCGACTTCGGCAAGTCCGCAGCTTCGACCAGCGCACTACGGGAGCCTTGACATTGACTCCATTTGGGCCGAACTCCCTTTCATGGGGTGCCACTTTAAGCCATTTTTGGAGGCCACGCTGGTGAACTTTGCCGTCCTGTCGTGAAAGAGATGAATCATTCCTTAAAAAGTGAACCCCCAATGGATCCGAAGTGGACATGAGCCAAACGGCACCCCTCCTCAGATTCCAGGAGGGCTTGGACGACTTCCAGGACACCGTCACACATGGCGCCGTGCAAAATGTCGGCGCGACCGAAACACACACCTCACTTGTCCAAAGAGCATGGAACAGATTGATGCGGGTGTGGATGCCCTTTGTCGGGCGGGTGTTCAAGGAAAACCAAAAGGAACACTACCATTTTGCGGGCTTCCCCTAAAAAAAAACGCTCTCATGGGTTGAGACCTCACACGGGCCAAGGAAAACGAAAAGTGTCCATTCGCTTCGGAAAGGTACAGTAAGTTGCTCACCTCGAAATGCTCACGATGCTAGAGCCGCAATCTGAGCATCCAAGTGATTCATGCAAACCCAGCCACAGTCAGTATTCAGAAAATGTCCACCAATGACATTGGTCCGGGAGGGCGCAACTGCAAAGAGAATCCCCGATTTGACCTGCGATTTGACCTGGTACCTGTCAACTGGGACCTGACAGGGTTCATTTATTATCCGTCCAAAGGGTCGTAGTGCTTTTCCGGGGGCCCCGGCACCACATGGACTGGTTCGAGTCTGACGACCCAGCCAGCACCTGGCGATCGGCCCAGCTGACAGCAAAATCAAGGTATCTCTGAGCGAAGTCCCTGAAGATGTTCCCACCCACCCGAAAATTTGTTGGGCTGAGTCTCTGGAGATGCTCCTCCGGAATGATTCAATCCCGAGCAATCGCCAGCCCGACTCTGCTTGAGATCCAATGTTGCCAGTTTCAAGGGACTCCCGTAGGGCCTCTACGTGTCAAGGGGCCCAACTTCAATGTGAAACAAGGATAACTTCAACCAAACAGGTGGCGGCTTCCGATTGTGCTTCTGGAGCTTCAACTTGATGTTGAGCCAAAAATTAAAAAGGAGATCTGAGACGGTTTCCACACTTCTGGAACTTCCCACTTCGCCCTACAGCTGGGAAGACAAATTTGCGGCCACATTCAATGCAACGCAAAAGTCATGCGATAGACGGTCAAGCCGGCGGTGCGCTTGTGCATCAGTATCTATCTGTTGACTTAAATGCAGCAATGAGCTCGGAATGTGTCCAAACACATGTTGTGCCTTCAAGTGTTTCCAACCAACAAGTATCAATACGGAAGAGAGCCCAATACATGCTCCTCTGCGCGATAACCTACATTATTAGACCTTTCGCGCCAGATGATGAAATCATTCCATACATCATTGTCCACGACAATCCATGATGCTGCTGTGATTCCAAACAAACTGTTGTGTCTGTTTTGCTTCTGCTTTCCTGTGTGCTTATACACACGGGAATCACAAGCAATCACATACTGTTGCTTGGCGCAAAAGCCAGGCTATCAACAATTCGACGCACTGCGGCACTCTCGTTGCCAAGTCAAACGTCCGACCTACATTGACATGTTTGCCAAGCTCAGTCATTTGCAAGAACAAGAACATCTTCGGGGATAGCCCCGGGGATTTATGCTGGTTGCGGGCCCTTTTTTGGACCCCTATTCTGGATGCACGAAATCCAGTTCGCCCCACTTTAGACACCGTGGAATGCTTCGATCCCCCTGTAAAATCCCAACCAACCGTGGTTTCAACCATGGTTTCGTTTCGTGCGCAATCCACAGCATCACCGAGGCGAACAGATTCTGTCCCTTCTCTCCGAGAGGCTTTAGGTTTCACACCGAACATTGATGTGATCGCGCGAGGAACGTTGGGTTTAAATGGGACCGATCAGTACCAGTAATTACCCAAGGGTTGGCAATTGGTACCGGATATGGCTCAAGGGCACTTCAGGTACAAATAGACCACCCTTGGAGGGTGCTACTGGACATATGATTTTAAGTTTTTTCCAGTTTCACATAACCCCCCCCCCGTGCCATAGACGGACACTTACTTAGAATCTATCTTGCAGCCAAGAACCCTTAAAGAACACTTTGCAGCCACCCCTTACAGAACCAAGTCTTACACACCCCTTAAAGACCCAATACCCTAAACGCAGGTCGCGAGACAATTCGACCCTCGTGTCCATCACCCCCCCCCCACGAGGCGCCTGTGCCGAGGCCAAGCCCTTGCTCGCCCCTGCGCTGGCGCGGATCGCCTTCAGCCGCCGCTCCAGCGCCTCCGCTCGACGCCGCCGCTTCCGCTTCCGCTTCCCACGCGGGGCTGTCCGTGGTCAGATCTACCAAAAGAGTTGTCAACTGTTCGTGGGCGAAAGAATCGGGAAACCCAGCGCAAAGTGATTTTACTCTTAGTGGGCGAAAGAATCGGACACACAGCTAAACTGATCTGCTGAAAGTGATTCTTTACTCTTAGTGGGTGAACAAATAACGAAACTAAACCAAAGAAAAAGGATCTAACAAGCTAAGGGGATGGGCTTTTGGGGGTCAGTTTCTTAATTCCCTGCTGAGGACGAGCAAGATGAGGATTCCTATAAGGCGTCCGGGGTATGCTTAAAAGGTATGTTGGAGGGTTCTTGGAGAGAGCGTAGCTTCCATGCCTTGCTGGTTTTCAGGGAATCAACAGAGGTTTGGGAACGAACCCGGGGGGTCATTCCCTCATTCCCTGCTGAGCACCATATGTTGGAGACTTGGAGAGATGGACACCCAGCGTGTCCCTTTCACTATTTCCACTACCCATGGCAGCTTGCACAGGTGAACAAGAAGTAGGCTCACTTCCGATTGAGTGGGTTCACCAAAGAAAGTCCGAACTTTGTACATATTTACCACTAAAATGGTCTTCTCAAAAGTTTGAAGTCCAGGAACGCAAGATGCTTTGATTCAAGCTTGTCCAGCCTCTGATGATGGGGAAACCACCCCCAAACCACCACCAACACCAAAGGGAAACTATAATTATCCAACCACTCTGTAGCAAGGAGGAAATACCCAATTGTTTTGTGCGGGGCTGGTTGGGGGTACTCCCAGGCTTTCATGGCTGCTTTGGGCTGAATCCTGTTGGTCTCCTTTGAAACAGTGGATGGTTGTGAGTTCATGAATGTTGCTTTACGTAGGTCGGGAATCTGACAGCCTCCAGATCACGCGGATATCTTCCCGATTGACATTCACTTCCTTGGTCGTCTGAACCTCGCCAACTGTGGATTCCACGCTAAAGCGTCGACGAGCCAGACATCTCTGAATTCGAGCGAGTTCCAGGTTCCGCACTTTCAACATGTGCCTAGTCCATCGCATCCTGGGCTCGCTTCCGCCTATGTCAAGGAATCCAATGACACCAGCTACCAATACCAAGGGATCCGAGAGAATTTCCGCGGTAGCTCTGTTGAGTGCGGTTGCCTGTAATGAACTGTGGGTGGACGAAAATTGGAACCCATGGGAAACCATTGTTTGTTGGTATTTAGAGGGGAATCAATCGAAACCAGGGTTTCTTAGGTGCTGCGAAATGGATTTCGCAACCATCCACAGGAAGAAGATGAGCAAGTCCCGTCAGCTTTGGTAGGAAACATGGCGAGCTGCCCATCTCCCTCAATGACCATGGAATGCAGATTTCCTTCCGCAGCTTTGAAGAATTCGCATGTTTACATTCAGGCCCATATGTACTGGATGTCAAAATGTAATCTGAACCTCCTAAAGACACCACCCCCTCAAACACACCCCTCGGGAAGACTTCACTAGACAGCAACCTAGAGATGCGTTCGTGGGGTGGTAGCAAAATCCAAGTGATTCTTGAAGCTGTCAGCGAAAACAGGTCCCAGTTCTAAATCGAACTTCTGCCAACTTGCGCCATTCATGGTAAGCTTTGCCTGGCGGCTGCTCTCCGGAGATGTCTCCAGTTCCTCCCGAGGAAGCCATTCAACTTCCGAACGGTTCATCGGTTTGGGCACAGCAGTTGCATTCACACGATAAGTATCTTCAGAAACACCTATGCATCTTGTCAAGTCAAAAGGCACGCTACAATGCGTATGGCACAGCCACTGTGTGCATGATGCTGAATGTGGCGCACTTGCACATGTGCTGGGCAATCGCTCAAGCTCAAACCTCCATCATCGAGGCATGAGAGTAAACCCCCATGTTACAATATTCAATATTATTTCTTTGTACATGACTTACTGTATTCGCCATGGTATGCTTTCTGTATTCGTGATATGGGGACTGCCTGTACTTGGGAACAATATTCCAATGGTCTGCGAGCATCGCTTTCACATGCAATCAAATATGAAGAATGACAAGTTTTGACAGCTGCTCAAATGTGATCACCCGCACTTTGGTTTCCCTTTAAACGAACCCTAGAAAGCTACCCTCAAAGAAGCGGATTTCTTGCGACCACGAAGCCCAAACAAAATCCGAGGCGATCGGTCCTCTGCACAGCTGCCTTTCCCTGTGTAGTTGGCAGATATCCTCCCGTTCAAATGGCTTGGGATATGGGAATCTCCGATTTTCCACAATTCCACTCGGGACCTCTGTACAAATGGGACCAAAGGGGCGCACGACAAGTTCCTTGCATCCCGACATGGGACATGGTCATCCTCAAGAAACCACTCGTCTAAAATCCCGAAGGTTGATGACAGTTCGGGAACAACCCAAGAACTGGGGGCTGCGCGTGTTGATTTGCAGTGCAGCCAATCCCTGCACTCCCAGAAGCACGCCAGTGGAACTATCCTTTACAAGAACACTTTTGTGTCGGTGCCCAACATGGGGACGAAGATGGTCCAAACCCGAGGACACACGCCACAACTTGCCCAAAGGATGGGAGCTGAAAACAAAAAGTGATCACCTTTTGGGACCTTTACTAAACATGGAAACCACCATGGGAAAACCAACAGGTCAAAAGGTCGGCTTTGGGCAAGTGAGAACAGGAATGTGCCATTTTTACTCGTGTCAGAAGATTCCGTTTCTGGAAAAGTGGCCGTGCGTTTCCATAAGTTGGGGGAAGTGCAACAGGGGCAAGCTAGCAAGCGCCGAAATCGTGAGTCACCCAAAAAGGATCAAATCATCTTTGACTGCACATAGAGTTGCAACAGGTCGAAGCTCAAGCCTGCAGGTGGCCTTTTGGTACCAAAGATGGTGTTTGTCTGGCAACTAACACTCAAGTGGAACCCAGCCATGCTTCACCAAACCGATCAAAAGGAGCCCCATGCTCGAGCGGATTTCCGTAAGCCCCTGATGCCCGCTTCGGAGAAGCGTGGCGGGTGGGCAAGTGGCCCTCGCTCGCCAAAAACTCCCGGAAGGACCTGCCAGCGACCGTCACGACTCGCGCGACGCACCGAATCTGTGGTTGAGGACAAACAAAATCTCCCTTCCGATTGAGTGGATTGGCAACAAACGAAATCCAAACTTTATATTTATACCACTAAAATGGTCCAACAAGGTACTTCAAAGGAAGCAAACAGGACAATGTAAATTGTGTTGGTCCGAATACTAGTTTATTTTGCGGCCGCCTTGTTCCACACTCTTCCCCGGGTGTTGGCTTTGTTCAACAGACGCATGGCTTTAACCTTGGCAAGACAGGAGTTGTGTTTGAGAATTCGCACGTCCCCAGCACCGGTACCCAGCAGCTACACGTATGCTGGCCAAACACAGTAAAGGACACATTGATCAACCCCCACATGCTTAAACCACTAGTGGTTCAACACACCCCTTTCAGTTGCGCTAGATTGCGCTTTCAGTTGGGGCCGAGGGTCTGATTATTTTAACCTACCTTACCCAGCCCAAGACCCGCAGAATTTAGGCACCTTCGTGACGAACAGGGGGGGGGGGGGAAATCAGTCTTCGATTTCGGTCTCAAAAAACTGTAGGATCTGCTTTCCTGTTGAAAACAATGCTCAGAAAGGAAGACGTTGCCAGCTTGGCGGTCCAATTTCAAACAGCTTTCTGGAAATTGGCCACACGGTTGCACGAATCGTCTGACATAGAACCCAAACGAGTGAGCCATCTCCTCCAAAAAAGTAGGACCAATGTTAACCCCGGATTAATAAACCCCTGGTTGATTAATAGGGGGGTGTCCCCGTTTAGTGGGGATTCATCACTTTTGGAGGGAACACCCCCTAAAAATGGGACGGGTTTATTAATCCTGGGTCAACATTATGGAAATCCGCTTTGGAAATACACACTCTCTTGAAATCGACGGATCCTCTAACCAAAACTCACTTCCGATTGCCCCCAAGCAAGTCCAAGTTGGCCGCTGATATGGTCTTCCCGAAGAGTACGATCCAAGAATTCTATGAGCGAGAAAACCCAAACATGTCAGGAGCACAGATGGGTTCATCTCAAAATCGGGGAACCCCGTCCCCGAAAAAAAATGGAGCTAGTTTGCTGTTGGCTTCCCTTTGAACCAAAAAGTACGCTCCAAATTTAAAGACTTGCTGGTGTGACAGGTAGGGAATGTGGGAATAAACTGTTTGGGGATTCCCGAACAAAGGAAACCACCAAAAGTTGGATGGATTTTCAGCCGGGGTCAGACTCCATTTTTCTCATTCCCTGCCGATTTCGAACAAGAAAGCCACCACTTAGATGTTCGGGTCATTCCCTCCCAATTTGGCTGTGGGTCAAAAATAGGTAGCCACAATGGCTTGCCCTGGCAAATGGACACATGGACACATTTCCCGCGGTTCCTTGGGTTTAATTTTGACCCATACCCATTTCGCCATCCAGACATCGCTTTTCCTCACTTTCTGAGTGGATGGCCCAAAAAAAGTCCAAACTTTATATTTACCACTAAAATGGTCTTCCCAAAAAGTTTAAAGTTCATGAACTCAGGAAGTGAGTTTCCGGGGCGCCTCAGGCAGCCGAGGCCTTTCTCGCCTGCTCCTTGCCCGTCTGGACCTGAGGCTTCCAGTCGGGCGGTCAAAAGAAGTGCCCGGACCCTCCTACGCGTAAACAAGGGGAACTCACCCCGAAAATTTGAGCAACAACCCAATTCAAGGGAACTTTGAGGCGAATTGGCCACCTAAGCTACAACCAAGAGGCTGAACTCCACTTGTGTTTTAGTACCCTAGCCTATGTCAAGAAAACACTTATAGGTCCTGCCGCAAGTGGGACGTTCCTTCTGTTCGCGGGTCATAACTTATACGGCAAGCCACTTACTATTGCAACTTGCAGCAGTGTGGCAGGCGTCTTGAAACAATTTCCCAGCATCTTTGCAAAGGCGCAAGATCCAGGGTTTGCATCTTGAGCGGAAGCTTCTGCTCACCCGTCTGCAACCTGTCACCAAACACCCATAACGCACTGCCAGAAAAAAATGCACCTTTTGGGCCTTCTTAAGGAACATAATCCTTTCTCCCTAGATATCTGCCAGCTGTTGCTGGGTCATTCGCGCGGTCGAATTACCACTCTCCAAAGCCTTTAAAGTATTTCATCTTAAAAGCAGTGATTGTTGACCATTCCACACCTGCCACACGACACGGATTCGGAAACTTGATCGGAAAATTACCCACACACACACACGCACACACAACCGGCCCCAGCAGAATCAAGTAAGAGGCACAAATGATTTGCTCCTGATGTAGATTTGAATTATCTGATCTTTAGCACGGTTCCCAGCAAGCCTCTAAAGTATGTTCGAAGCCCTCAGAAACAAGCAAGTTTTCCCCGCGGCTCTGGTGAACATTTCTTCAAAGTGGGCCTAACTTACAAACCTCATTTTGATTGCCCTGGTAAACCTCAAACTCAAACTGTGGTAAACGCAGTGGATCCAATTTCCGATTGTCAGCCGCATGTCCGTTACAACTGCAACCTCTGACCAAAATAACCTACGGACAAAGCGCTTGTATCTCAGGTCGATGGGCCTGAATCCCATGCTGATTTCTCGATATGATTTGGTGTCTGAATTCCGAGGCCATGTTTCCAGATTTACCCTCCTGTCCACTAACGTGGAACCTGAGGGTCCTGGTTCGGACCATGCATGGCAACATCGACCGGAGGATATCTCCGCGGATTTAGACACTCGGATATAGGACCCTTGGCTTAGGTACTCGAACCGTTTGGCAACAAATGATATTGCATGGCCCTGTATCAAAGTTTTACCCACAAGTTATCCCTCAATCTCGGATCTTCTCCATCCTTGGTTTAGCAAACCTCAAAACCACGAATTCTTCCTACATGCCGCCGGGTAAACGGAAGATGCACGAATTCGCAACATATGTTGGCTTCCTTTTTGTGTCCCCTCATCACCTACCAAGAGGGGCTGCCTAAGAACAAACACCCCAAACAACAATCATACCGCTACACACATCACAAGGCACGATATATATATATATATATATCTATATGTATGAGGAGATACATTCATATATGTATATATCTTGTATACATGCACATATGCATAATATATATATATATATGTGTAGAGCATAGTTTGCAACTGGACAAAACAACTCAACATGAGTTCCTTATCATGGGTGAGCTCGTGTCGTGATAACTTATGCATGGTATGTGTGTTCTCTTCGCTATGCATGAATTGTCCCACGCAAAGAAACACTGAGTGCCGTGCTGAGCCAGGTGGCGTCCACGCCGAAAGAGGCCTGCGGGCCAATCATCCTTGGTTGTCTGTTTTACTCCGTGGCTTTCTGCTCCCTGCTAAAAGTTTAACTTTTTGTGGCTTATTGGAAAATCTATTAGTTGGCAAAAAGTTAGTTAAAGTCCCAACATCCAAGCAACATGCACCAAAGCTTAGACCATATTCCTTTACAAGAGTAAATGTTAATTAGTGGACTGGAGCGTAATCAAACCAGGGGGCCCCCTTTGTATTGGGCATTCTTCACAGGAGGCAATCCCCAAATGATAGGCAAAGAGTAGCATTCCGGCATCAATAGGGATTGAACACAACTCCTGCGATAAAGGAAATGCTGCCCGCTTGGGTAGCACGCAACCACCACATGCCGGTCGGGTCTTGTTGAGCTGCAAAAACCAAACAACCAACACAACAAGCGCTCTTCAAGCCGCTCTGCCCCTACAACTCGCTGGCTGTTGGAAGCCTGCCCCCCCAAAAAGCAAAAACACCGCGCGCTTCGTCGGCCTCGAGGTGAAGCATGTAGCGCGAGTAGGGAGAGCAATGCCAGCCTCCGAGTGATTTTCGGGCTGCATGTTGAAAGTTTATCAGGCCACAGAACTGGGCTAATGGAAATCCCCGCTACACACTAAAAAGCTAAAAGGCCAAGGGGATGGCTGGGAGCCAAGAGAAGACTTGGGCCATCTTGCCACCCTGGCCCAGGAATTCTGGGCCAAGAGTGAACAGTGAACATCGCCCGCTTCTGTGATACCCCTGGACCAAACTGACCAAGCAACCGATTAGCATGCTGGTTTCCTGGTACCCAAGTCCTCAAGTACTGTCACTGGGCGTCAGTTGACGGGCAGGGTCATTGGCCCAGAGGCCTGTCAGCACATTTCTGCGACCTCTCAGATCAAGAGTTCACCCGTCTTCCCCATGCCTTCAGTTACCATTGCAGGTAACCAGGCTTGGTTGCTGCTGACCCCTGCAAAAGATGAACACTAGTCTCCTTTTTCAAAAAAAGGGGCCCTCATTTTGACACCCGTTGATGAGTCTCTTGATGCGTCCATGATTATCAGCCTTTGATGGACCCCAGTGATCGAAGCTCTGAATTGGCCTTGTACAAGTTGCTGTGGTCCCTTTGTTCTTAACCGCGAGTGTCAAAACATCAGCACTGCCTTCAAAGTACCCTCTTATGATATGCGATGCAATGCTTTGATCTTTGCCATGCTTTGGTGAAGCAAGCGTTGCAATGGCAACAAACAACCTTTTCTTTTGTGGAACATTTTGTTGACATGTTCAGTTCTTCGTCGGACGCAGCCACAATCGCATGCTGTAGATAAGCAAATTGAATTTCTGGATATGGGTGCGTCTTTCTTTAGGGCCCCGCAAAATGGCAGCTCTCCTCTTTTCTTCCCTTTGCCGACCAAAAATCGATTACCAACTCAAAACAAGCACAAACCAGGCTCGACTTTCTGGAGAGCACGCCTTCTGTGGCTTTCAAGGGACTCGGGCGAAGGTAAACCAACAGGATACCCACGGGGTCCAAGAAGACGAGCCACCAATCTCACACCAAGACCCGTCGCGAACCCATGCCCGGCGCGGCTGCGCGGCGCTTCTCCGGCCTTGGCGCCACACCTCGAAGGTGGAGGGCTTTGGGCCTCTGAGCAGAGAGAGAGATGCCTCCCGGCCAAGGTTGCTGCTGCGATAGGTAGAGAATGAGGCCATCCAACTGGTGGTTTCCTTTAAAGGTATTACCAATTCCTGGGTTCATTCCAGCTCATTCCCCACCTATCGCACCTGCAGGCAAGAGAACCAGCTCACACAGGACGAGGCGGGGCCCAACACCATTTTGCTCTTGCTTGACAAATGGCTTTGAAACCTGTCTGAACCCAAGGACTTAATGTCCCTTCACAAAATCACACCAACCTATCAAATCGAACAATTGGCAACACAAAGTTGAGGTTTGCCGCCGCAGGGCAACAATGTGTTCCGGCTTTGAAGAGATGGTGCCGAGGGAAACTTAAAACTCAACATGATCCACTTTGGTGTCTATGTCCCGCACTCAATTCTCGCCAAGAAGCCGGTTTCTCCTAGCTGCTGTCTCAGAAGAGGCGCGACGTGCTCATGCACGAAGACCTGGGATCGAGTCGCAAATCCGAACCTATCGACCCTTCGCTTAATCCCGTCCAATACGACATGTATATCCAGCTTGTAGTTGGCAATGGCTACCCCTTCTCATGTATGTGTATATGTAATATATGAATGGCCTAAACAGCTTTGTTACCCGTGTAACTCTGTATTAACCCTCATCTCCCAAGGTTCTGCCAAATGATTAAGTCGGGTTTACCTTCAAAGCAACTAATCCATATGGCAATTCATGTCTCCTTCCTTTCAAACACTTGCTTTCCAAAAGGATCGTCTGTATTGATGCAAAACTCATTATACAAACCAGTTGTTTAATCGGAATGTACCCAAAAACCTTTCTGCCTGTGCTTGTTGGGCATGGCCAGTATGAATCTCCAATAACTCAAATCGATTCACATGTTCGATTTGCACAGCGGATGCTAACTCAATCAGCATGCAGTGCTTTGCGCGAGATAAAGCCAGTGACCCACATTCCTGACTGGATCGGCCAAAACAAGTCCGAACTTGTTATTTACCGCAAATATGGCTGTGGGTCAAAAGTAGGTATCCAAAATGAACCTGCGGTCCCCTGGTGGTTTAATGTTGACCCAGACTCGTTGGTTTCCCTTTCAAACCACCAAAAGGGGGTACCCCCCAAAATTCAAAACAGACTCGACTTGTGGGAAGACTGGACACATGTGGAGGCTTGCCCAGAAAAACGTGTCGCGGCGCACCGCGTGGGCACCGCAACCAAAGCTTGGGGCTAGTGCGGGCCACGCACGCCGCACGTGACTTGGGATCCCCGGCTCGCGTTTTCCCCGCTCCCCGAGTTGGGCTTTACACTTTCTGGGCAAAAACCACCGGGGGGAAAGAACAAAAACACGGCACGCCCAGTTGAGCCCCGTCTCAGCCCCTTGGCTGCGTAGATGTGCTCCAGGTATAACAGCTCATAGCCTGCGAGATTCGGATGGCTGGCGCCGCTCGATCGGTGCGAGCTCGGGGAATGAGAAATGGAGTGACCCCCGTAAGCCATTCAACTGGTGGTCTCCTCTGAGGGAATGGGGTTCATTCCCATGTTCCTGAGCACCAGCAAGGAAAATACGGGTTGCCTAGTTCTATGAATTTCAAACCCAGCTGATATTAAAAACAAATAAACACAATAATAATAACAATAATAATAATAATAATAAACGGGGGGGGGGGGGGTTGGCCCCTCCAAAGGTGGCCGCATTCCAACCACGAAACACGGAATTGGACACCCCCCTATTCATGATCTGGGGTTGATTATGGGGTCAACAGTACTGGTCTGGTTGCAAATCCAGAAATTGCACCCCGAAAGGAAACCATGGTTAAAACCATGACGTTTGTGGGTATTTACAGGGGAATCGAATCATTCCAGGGTTTCTTAGGTGCTGCAGGATGGATTTCGTCCACAGCCCATGGGAAAAAGTTTCTTGGGCGAGAGCTGTCGTGAGTGGAGCTAAGCCCTGCGGCGAATGTGCATTTCTGGGTAAAATGCAACCAAGCACACAGGGTGGAACTGCCAAAAGAGTCCTTCATCCTTGCGCTCGCCTGCACGTTGATGAGCCCCTATTTGTGGCCCCTGCCTTTCCTTCAAGGGATTCCTTCTGGTCGATCCTTCCATCGAAGTCCAGGTCTTAAGAAGAACTCACTTGATGCAATTTTCATGGTATCCAGGGCTCCACTTTCCGACTGCCAAGACGGTTCCCTTTTCGGGGGCAATGACCCACCTTTGGGGTTAAGCCTACCCTGAAATGAGTGAAATGGTAGCAGCTGAAACACCGGAAAAGGACAGTGTATAGGGACTCCTTAAGCGAAGGTGCTGCTACCGCAAGACTGAAGGGGCCATGAGAAAGAGCGGGCGCCCAATTTTGGGCAGATTTCAAAGAGAAGACCCTCCAACTCAAAGAAGAAAAGACATTCCCCGGGTCTTGCGAAGCAACTGCTTAAGGGCCAGTTTGCGGAGAATCGAACCATGAACACCTGTTTCCCAGGAGCACGTCTAGATTCCTTCGGCCCTTTTTGGCCGGTTGCAACTCTTGAACGGAAGTGCCAGAAATTCGACTCGAATCGACTCGACTCGACCTCCCCAAATAAAGAGGAGCAGTCATTTTGTCACTTGCTCAGGTGACTTGGCTCAAACTTTCTTGCTGGATTCCTTCCAAGTCCTTCCGTGCCAGCTGGAACATGGGCTCAGGTGAGATGCCGGCCCTATTCCAATGGGTTTCCATAGACCACAAGTACGCGAAGCTCTAAAGGTTGGTCTCCAAGCGGAAACGCCCAAAAGTGGACGACTTCCGCTAAAGACAACCCAGAAGAGCCAAGACGTGGTGGCCAAAAGCCATGCGCAGGCGGCATTGAGCCACATGAGATATTTCTTGCCTCAGGTGTCCTACGCGGAACCAATTGGACCCTATAAGCCAAGGGATCCCTGGAAATCGAATCCATCAAGGGAATGTGCCAAAGAGGAATCCAAGAGCTGCCAATTGCTTGGGAATTTGCCAAAGCGAAGGTTGCCAGTTGAGAGAATGAATGGGTAGCCATCATTTTGTGGTTGCGGTTGCACCCCAACTCAGCAGTTCCGTACACTTTAACATGGCCCTTGCAAAGCTAGGCAGTCCTCAGATCCCCTGCTAAGAAGTTCAACTTTTGGTGGATGAATTAAATGGAAACCCAACCACTAAACCAATTAAAAGGCTACAAAGCTACAAAGCTACAAAGCTCCGGATGGCTGGGAGCCACCAAGCAAATTCGCCCAAAAACTCCGTGCTGATGGTCAATGCCCCCTCTCCCGTGGGATGTGTCTGAACGTCTGAGCCCAAGACCCAAGGGCCCAAGCAGTTGCACCACGCTCTGCAGAGAGCACCTGAGACGGAGAAAAGCTGTGGGTTGGGTGGGGGGGGACAATTTGGATGAACGGAATCCATTTCGCACCGAGGGGTTTGTGGGAAGGCCTATGCCCCTGGAAAAGAAGGGAACCCTTTTTGGGGCTTGGACCGTTTTTAGCGGGGCAGCCACCCAAAAAAAGGGGAAAAGGGTGCCACTAAACAACTGAGGTAATGTCCTGCTTCAAAGTGCAAGGTTGATCCTCAGTATTTTTTGGGGCTTTCATCCATACCAGGATTTCGTCCAGTCGGGCAACACCTTTGGAGCCACAATCGAAGCCCGGGCGAGCGAAGTTTTGGCAAAGCCCAGGCCCAGCTATCAAACCACAATTGGCGATCAATATATTTTAAATCTTTCACCATGGGCTGTGGGTGGTCGTCTACCGTGTTTGTAGTTTGACTCACTAAGGAATGCTTGCTACAGTACCAGCTTCAGCACGAGACCGCATCATGCCGCAGGGCTTCAGCAAAAAAGGCGCCTGGGTTGGACGGGGTCAGTGAACCTTGCAGTGCTGCTGTGTTTACTCCTCTGCATTTCCTGCTCCTCAAGGCGGGGGGGGCAACTGCTGACCTTGCACAAGAAAGGCTGTTATGCTGAGGTGTGATATGGTGTGATGTTGCTCGAGTCGTGTAGGCACGCGGTGTCATACAGTGCTGCGCATTATCTTCACGCAGCGTGCTGGTCCAGAGACTCCCTTGCCAAATTCGCAGATAGGCACGGTAGCAAGCGCTCGTTGGAAGGCACTTTGTGAGTGCATACTTACCAAAGATGCGTTCCATCACCATGTGCGCGAGCTTGTGGTAGAGGTTGGGCCCGGGCACGCCAAGGAGTTGAAGCGGGTTGTGAGCGCCGTTGCTGCGGACGGGCTGAATGTTCCGAGCATTCTCGCAGGTCATGACTGCCGTGCAGCAGGATACGTGGTCCTTGGTTCGCGCCCGGGAAGCCCACTCGCTGATTGGTCCACGTTCTGATTGGTTGCATCCCCAAACTTGTCCTGGATATTGAGGCATTTCTGCTGCTCATTCGTAGTGAACCGCTGATTTCGTCTGAGGTGTGCTTGCCCGTTTGCGTCAGCGAATTGGCTGGATTGATGATTTGCAGTGCAGACTTGACAGTGGTTCTGCTGCAGCCGGTTGTAGCCTAACTCTGAGAGCCCAGAGCTTGCTCAGCTGACTGTTGCGCGCACGTCATGGAGGAGATGGACTGCGGTCGAACCTAGGACAAAGGGAAGACTGAAGCCTTTCGTGGGCTGGAACACGGGCTCCCGATGCAAGACGTGCAACTGAGTAAGCTATGTGTTCTGGCAACCTGCCTTCTAGTTCTTTTTGTGCAAGGATTACCTCCGGTTTGTCATGATTCTCCCCAGGCTTCTAGCATGTCCACATATTGATACACGTTTGCTTGGAACGCTTCGACAGAATTTCTCTGAGAACTAGGGGAAATGCAAATGACGGACGGCAAGCCTGCGTATCCCTGCTTGGCAGAGTCTGTTGCAAACATACTTTAGACACGACAGCCTAGCAATACGGAGGCACTTGCTGCAAAACTCGTAAAAACTCTACAGCCCGCGCATGCAGAGGGGGGGGGGGGGGTAGCATATATGCAATTGCGAAAAGAACAAACACATGAATACATGGTATATATATGCTACCCCCCCTTGAAATACTCAGGTTTTGGGCCAGAACTGAGGTTTTTTTTTGCCAGACTGGGGGTGACAAATTCCTTGCGACTCTGAAATGAACTGACTGGACGCTCAACTCCATGCAAATTCCAACCAAGCAGAAGTTAAGCTCAACGTTGAAGGAGTTGCGAGTTGTGTGACCGTCACATTGGCGTGCGCGAAGTGCACTTAAAGTCACATTGGAGTATGCAAAGTTCACTTTGGCAGCTCCAGCTCAAAAAGCACAACTGTCCAGTACAAGAATAGTGCGCGAAGTATGCTTTGGCAGCCTCAATGCGCCTGTAGCAGCTCTACTATTGTGTGTTTCTATTTTTGTTTGGCTGCGAAATTCAGCAAATCATCAACTTGGGGAAAAGGAACTCATTCCTACTGCATGTCCTGGCGTATTTGCATTTTCATGTTAACTCGAGTGTTGTGCAGAATTCCATGTACATGCTAGTTCAATCTGTTTGAAACATATGTTGCAAAGCAAGTATCCCATGTGTGTGTGTTGCTTGTCTAACTTGGCTCCATCATCGCCAATAACAAGTATTGAAATTCAAGTAAGGGAAGGATGTCCAGTTTAAAACGCTTTCGAGTTCAAACCAAATTCAAGTTTACTCGTTTGGAGTTTCTTGTGGATTTCAAAAATCAACTGGAGAAGATGGCTATTGTCCTTATCGAACTCCATGTGGTTTGAACCAAGCAAGAACTAAGCCAAGCCAATGCCTGGAACGTGCTGTCAATCATAGATCTTATTATTGGCATAAATGCTGTAAAACGCAGTGTTTTTAAGCATTTGCCCAGATCGTGTTGCCTTAGATCGAAGATCGAGTACACAAGATTCCACAAACATATGTTTAGAACATCCTCAATCCTGGTCCCCTAAAAACTTGACAGTTTGTTCTAGACTCATTAAGGTTTTGCCCCCTGCATTGAAGATTGAAGATCTACTATATTTTCTATTGAGAATTGAGAATCTTCAATCCTGGCCAGCCCTCAAGTCCACACAAAACCTGTAAAGATGTCAACAACAATTTTCCCCCCTGGCCAAATGCAGGCAGTGCGAGTGCACATCCACAATTTGATTCTGACAACGTGCACTCCCGGTTTGGCAGCGAAATTCAGCAAATCATCAACTTGGGGAAAAGGAACTCATTCCTACTTCATGTCCTTGCGCAGTTGCATGTTCATGTTGACTCGAGTGTTGTGCAGAATTCCATGTACATGCCAGCCCAGTCTAATTGAACCATATGTTGCAAAGCAACTATCCCATGTGTGTGTGTTGCTTGTCTAACTTGGTTCCATCATCGCCAATAACAAGTATTGCAATTCAAGTAAGGGAAGGATGTCCAGTTTAAAACGCTTTCGAGTTCAAACCAAATTCAAGTTTACTCGTTTGGAGTTTCTTGTGGATTTCAAAAATCAACTGGAGAAGATAGCTCCCCTAAAAACTTGACAGTTTGTTCTAGACTCATTAAGGTTTTGCCCCCTGCATTGAAGATTGAAGATCTACTATATTTTCTATTGAGAATCTTCCATCCTGGCCAGCCCTCAAGTCCACAAAACAACCTGTAAAGATGTCAACAACAATTTTCCCCCCTGGCCAAATGCAGGTGCTTGGCAGTGCAAGTGCACATCCACAATTTGATTCTGACAACGTGCACTCCGGGTATGCCTTTTAGATTCTTCAAATTTGCACTTAGGGCAATCCAGGATCTGAAGATTCAAGATTCTCTGACAACTCTTTCTGAAATTCTCCAAATATGTACTTAGGGCAATCCAGAATGTGCTAGCACGTGCTAGCACATCCTGGATTGAAGATTGAAGATTGAAGATTCTCGGGCCACTTGTTCTGGAAATCTTCAACCCTTAGGACAAACTGATATGTGCTAGCACGTGCTAGCACATCTTGGATTGAAGATTGAAGATTGAAGAATCCCAGAGAGAGTTGTCAGAGAATCTTCAATCTTCAATCTTCAGTCCAGGATGTGCTAGCACGTGCTAGCACATATCAGTTTGTCCTAAGGATGGATTGAAGATTTCGAGAACAAGTGGTCTCAGAATCTTCAATCTTCAATCTTCAATGCAGGATGTGCTAGCACGTGCTAGCACATCCTGGATTGACCTAAGTACCGATGCTAGAATTTAAGTCTAAAACGGAGTGCATTTTTGGAGCCTATTTTTTAGAAGCTGGAACGTGTGTTTTGCATGCATTTTTACAGCCAAAATGTCAATTTCTGGCCCAAAACCTGAGTATTCCAGGGGGGGGCACCATATATATATATATATATGTCGCAAGGGCCAACTCTCGCCGTCGGTAACCCCTGAGCCAGTCCCGGCTTCAGGCTCCCCGCAAGCAAGGTGTCAGCATGCAACGCAGTTGCCCGGTTCATGTCGTTTCGCAAGGCTCGCGTTGAAATGCCCTAGCAAAGCACCACATCTCGATGGTCTACCCGCAAAACATCTGGCTACAGCCTGTTGCAAAGCATCGTGACGGTGACGCTATTACCCAACCCTCCCCCCCTCCCGCCTCCCCCCCCGCCCGACAGCCTTCCCCGCGTGCATGACGTCTGTCTGCCACCCGCCCACCCGCTTCCCGGCGAGCATGACGTCTGGCTACAGCCTGTTGCACAACCACGGTGCTGTTGTCCCATCCATCCCCATCCCCCACCGGTAGGTTCTGCACTGGAAAGGTGCACGTTGTCATGTGACTGCAAAGGTTGGCTCCTGAGGGCGCATATATACATATATATGTATCTACTTAATATATATATATATATGTAATATAACATATATATATATATATATTTGTTCATCTTCAGGCAGAGGCTTCCACTCAGGGACCCAAACAGCTTGGGCTCCGAGGGCAAGGCTGGGCTGCAATGTAGCGCCTGAGAGTTTGGAACTGGATGAGGTCCGAGTCGATCCCCGCCTCACTCGGCACGTGAAATCGGTAAACAAATCAGTTGCCTCTGAGGGACCCAGAAATAGAATAGGTGATCACCTTTTGGGGCCAGGACTAGAAATGGTAGGTCGATTCGCTTTGGTCAAGTGACAAAAACAACTCCCTGACCTTGGGCGTTGGTAGGTGGTTTATCCCACTTCCCCCATGTCAGCCATCCCCTCTGGTACGAAGCGGATTTTGTCCATCCACATTAGCTCCCTCAACTGTCGCAAAGTCCTACGGGCTCCAGCACCCTCTCCCCCAAATCTCGCTTCTTGAGTGCATTGGTCAGATAGTCTAGACTTTCATTTGACAACACATCTTCCCAGAAACCGGGAAAAAGTGAGGTACCTTGCTTTGGAGTTTTGTTGGATGTCCTTTTTCTCAACGACCCGCGCATTTTGAAGCAACATCTCTCAAGAACTGAGTGCACTGGCCAAACAACTGCAAGCTTCTTGTTTGCCACGATTCGTCTTCCCAAAAATTGACTCAAGCCCATGAACTCAGGCAATGAGTTCTATAGTGAGGCGGCGTTTTGTTGGATGTCCCCTTTTTTCAACCCCCCCCCCCCCCCAATTGTTTAGCACCTTGGAGGAGGAAGGCCTCCATGTAAAACACAAAATCGACTTCAAGGGCACAGCTCACTGCGGTCTTCGTCTTCGGGCTCCCCGCGCGCCGGGCAGCTTTGGTCTTCCGCCGGTTCCACACGAAGAAGTGGGTGTAGTCAGGCTTCACCTCCCGGAAGACGGTAGGTGTTTATCCCCACTGTGATACCTCTGGGAATCTCCTCCTGCGGGGTTGGACTTTGGGAAGCCCTTTTGGTGGTATCACAGATGTGGCCATTTCATTTCCCACAGCCCTGTCCCCTAAAGAGGTGAAACTCAAAGCCGGGACGAAGCAGAGCTCCTCTCTCTTGTGGAACCCTGATTGTGCCGCCGCAAAACAGGATTTGCAAAGGGCTCCATAAGATTCACCATCTCCCCACATGGTTGCCAAAAACATGTACTTCAGCCTTTGCCCCCCAGCTCAAAAAAGTTCGGAAGATTGCATGGTGCGCATGCGCAGCGAGCAAGCACGAAAACGTCTGCGGGATCTACCAATGGGTGTGGCCGCAAGCTCAGATTGCTCATAGTCGTTGTGCTTGTGGGACTTTGGTGAGGAACTCAGGCGACGACAAAGAGTGGCGCGCAAACCTTGTTTAGCAAGTTTAATCTCCCTACTCCTGGGGGGTGAGGGGTGAGGGCCCCTGTATTCCGGTCAACTGAATGGCTCAGAGATCTTGCGGCGATTCCTTGATTCATTGAGCCCATTGATTTGACACCCTCAAGTGTGTTCTTGAAGCGGTGAACAAACAAGAGATCCATCTCCAAAGCGATTTTGAGCAATCTCCAAAAAACAGCTACATGATGGAACCGTCCAAAACACAAGTAGAACATGATCAAGAGTCTGAATCTCCCTGCAAGCAGCATCACACATCTCCAGCAATAGGTGGGTTCCACCAAGCACACAAGCCGGTCTTTTACACTGCATGAGGCACCCAACAAGCAAACCAAGCCATGCGCCTCCAGTGGCGGAGGCACAACCGGGTTGATCGGCACATACACCAAGCTCGCTAGGCTGATGCTGTCTGCCTGCGCTTCAAGTTCTCGCGCGCACGCTCGGCGAGTGCAGAAAAAAAAGAAAAACATTAAAACAAGCAGGCAAAGGATCCCCAACACCGTTTGTGCACTGGGGAAACACCAAGTAGATTAACTTGGACAGTCGGAATGGGAATCAAACAACATTTGTTGATGGTTCCACTCTTCAGGAAACCCACCCTGCGAAACGAGACAAAGGCTAAATCCACCTTGAAGGACCTTGCAGCTTGGTAAAAGTCGGGTGTGGTCAAATTCTTCAGGCACGAGCACCAAGCAACCCACGCTCTCCTCGAGACAAAGAGCAAATCAAACGCCCAAGGCAAAAAGCAAACCCCGGAGACACGCTCCTCAAGATGCCGGCTTCGTTACAACTCCAAGTTTATATAAATTGCTTCTTGGGCAAGGATCAAAGGAAGGGCAAACCGCATTGACATCTCTGATAGGTTTCCGTCCACTCCATGCCAGCGCTCGGAGCAAGCCATGGTCGCAAGAACTTTCAAAGACTGAGGTGAGAAGGGTCAGATCTCCAGATGTACCCGCTGAGTACAACACCATCCCCAGGGAGTCCCTTAATTATTCTTGGCCGCCCTACACAAGCCGTGCATACACACACACACACACACACTAGCTGCAATAAGGAGCTTAGCTCGGCGTCTCCCGAGACACCAACGCTTCGTGAAAACCTGGTGATCTGGAGATCTTTGACATGGCCATCTAGATCCTCCAGTGGAGAGGTTAGAATAAGAATAAGGGTACACTCTTTTTGTGTAGTCGATTTTAGTAGGGGAACCCTCCCAAAGGGTACAAGGGCACTGGGGGACCTAGCCATCCTGTGAAGAAAAAAGAAACACCCAGACCCTTGGCTCCCTGAAAAGCTACCCGGAGACCTGGGTGCAACGATCCCTGGATGGATATCCTGTGCTTTGGAACCCAAAAAACAAAAAAAACAATCACTTGGATGGGGTCCTAGTCCCTAGACTTCCAAAGGACATTAAATAAATGGCCGAGGTGGCAAAGTACATTTCCTGGGAAAAGGCCATTTTTTGCTTACATTTGGTTGGATCATAGAGTCCTATCTCAGGACACCCACGCCCAGTGGACATCAACATACAGCTCACTCAAAGTTGAAACCAGTAGGTGATACTCAATCAATCCGCATGAAGGAAATGCAACTATGCATCGACAATTGCACTAGCCAAATTCAACCCAACCAAAAAGAACATGTTCGACCTAAATAGGGACCATCTAGAAAGCAAACAAAAAAACATCGAAACAAACAAGAAAGCACATGTGAAACCTATGTGCAGTCAGTCCAACCGTCTCATCATGGGAAATCGAACAGGATTTCTTCACATCTGTGACATGCTAACCACTGCTATATCGAAACTCCAGCAAGCAAGGACAGAGAACAAATAATGCCAAAATTGCCCCGTTCATCATCATGAACTTTGAGAAATGCAAGCCACACACCTTTCCTTGAAATGCAAACAGTATTTCCATCAAGGGGTTGATTTGTAGCTCCGTCCCCATGAGCTCACTCGCATCACTTCGCCTCCAGGATCTCCCAAAGGACTTGGCAATTGCCAGCCACCGGGCTCAGCGATCTGGCGCGATTTGGCGCGGCGTCCAACAAATATTCCCTTGTTCTTGCTTTCAGGCTTCCCTTTAGGACTTGTTCTTGAAACAATCCTAATTCACAAGATTGGAAAGGAAATATCGAGTAACAAACCTTCCTCACGCTCGTCTCACCCCCGGTCGCCACAATTTGCCCGGATTGTGACAATTCCAAATCAAAAGACCTCGCTTTTCTCTCACAGAGATTTCCCTTTAGGGCCTTTTGCCTGAGCAAGCAATGCGACAATTCACCTCTGCAACTTGATCAAGTCGCAAAGCCCAAATGGCTACAATCTGTCCATCGCATTGGACCGGGGTTTCTACACTGTAGGCGGACCTTTTGGGGGGCCTTGTTGGGTGACGCTTGCTGTCATTGCAGTGTACCCTAAGAAGCGATGTCATCCCCCCCCACGCCCGTATTCCCAGTGAACATCCCAATCCCTACTAACATAGAGTAAAATGGGTGGTGCACCTACCCCAAAATGGTACCATTGGTTTTGCCCCACAGTCATTTCTGTGGGGAGGGTAAGGGGACGCTGAAATCAACCCAAGCCATGGGATTGTCTGTTTCCAGGAAGCTGCCTGATCTGTGAGGACTTTCCTAGGGTCCCATACCCAATAGCTTCCATGTGAGGTTGATCTCGGATGAGAAAAAAAACAAGTGTTACAAGTGGGGGTGGCTCAAAATGTAAGAGCTAGGTCTACACATGTTCTAGTCTTTGGGTCCATTTACCAAGGTGCCATTTTTAGAACTCTATTGAGCCACAGCTAGGTGGAAACAACAAGTGGAAGAAGGCGGATTGATAGATTCGGCATCCAGTCCTGGTGCAGCAGAAGATTGACGGTATCTCCATGACTTGATCCTTTGGACCGTCCAACCAACGAATTTCATGCTGAGCCCGCGCATCCAAGAAAGCAAACGATTCCCTTATAGCTCAGCGATGACAACATGGCTGTAAAATGGCAGGGTCTGGCAAACTCAGAAACGAAAACAACATCTCCTGGTGTTATCCTATTCGCTTGGCGCAAATTCATGCAACATTGGTGTACATGGACAATAATGGGTTTCAGATTCTGGTCCATATCTAGTCTAACCTAAAAAAGCAAACGTCGCATTTTCTAAGGGCGCCTTCATTGGAATGAAACCCAACACGTCATGTTATTTGACATTGAAACTAGGTCCTCCAGGCTAGAATAAGGGTACCCTCTTTTTCTGCAGTCTATTTTAGCAGGGGAACCCTCCCAACCAAAAAAGGGGTGAGAAAGGGCACGATCCTGGGGGACCTCGCCGATGAATCCATGAAGCCTGAAGCCTGAATCTCACATCCCTTGGTCCCACCTATCTCTCACATGGCTGTGTCAAAACCGTTTTGGGATCCCATTTTGGGGTAGGTGAATTCACCACCCATTTTACAACCTATTTTAGTGGTTGGATTAGGAGGTTCACTGGTACGATTTGGATTTTGACCCATGGCCACATCCCTTTGTCCCACCTATCTCTTTCCTAGTCGTGGGACATTGGATAACGAATCCTTGTTTGGACACTCGCCATCTCACTTGAGTGGCCAAAGGTCCGAACTTTTTATTTACCACCACAAAGGACTTCCCAAAAAGTGACTACAGTCCATGAACTCAGACATCCATTTGCTTCAGTCCCCGGAGAAAAGAACAAAAACAACAACATGTCCAGTAGTGCATTTCAAACCAACAAGGGAGAACAACACAGTATTCAGGGAGTGAGCCAGTATGCACTGGTATCTCTGGAAAGCGGTTGCCTTTTCCAGTCTTGCTGAACAAAGACAAGACTATGCTGAAATGCAAACACTTACCGGTCCGGCTTCACCTCGGTGATACTGTGGATTTGAAACTCAGAAATCGCAACACGGAATGAAAGCAGGTTGAAACCATGTAACGTTTGTTGGTATTTACAGAGGAATCATCATTCCAAATATGTTCTTAGGCGCTGCAGGATTTTGTCCATCCAAGTGGGAGAATTACTCTATACACCAACCGAAATACCCATCCCCTCTACCCGTTTCACATGTCTCGCTTCCCGCAACCTGACAACTCAAAACTCAAACTCAAAACAGCACCCACACACCCACACACCCACAAAGAGTCAAAGTCGATTTCAAACACACATAACACTCAATTCATGCTTGGATTAAAAAAAAAACATATAACAGGAAAGAAAAGAAGAAGAACGCACAAAAAAAAAAAAAAAAAAAAAACGCACCAGCCGCTAAAGTCTCACACAGATCTGGGGGTCCGCACATCATGTCGTAGGGCTGTGGCGGTGCCAAGATTGGATCCAGGAACGCCTTCCACACTGGCTTCTCCTCGCCAGAAAAGCGCGCTTTGGGCGTGTCTCTTCATGTGGGATCCCGAAAAGAGCGAGTTCCGCGGAACAAATCCCGTTGATTGTTCCCTTTGTGTTGCATAACAAGGTACTTGGGTGTTCGTCCAAGTTAGTAAGTTGCTTGTAACCTGGGTGGTGACCTACTTAAGTGGGGTTAACCTTGTTACTACTTGGTTGACGTTGGAAGGGGAGCAAACAAATAAATCTTAGCAGTTCAGTGGCTGGATTTCCACCACTAAACCACAACATAGGCAAAAAATGGGAAAAATGAAACCCCCAACGACAACCATGACTCGGGCTGTATACTTTACGTGGCGATCACCACTTACTGGCTCGCACATCCAATCGATTCCCACCCGACAAGCTGGGTCGGCCAAACCTGCACTTGGAAAGGCCGCAGATATCTCACTTTGGGACCAACACTAGGTCCTCCAGATTTGGGAGGTGAGAATAGGAGTACCAACTGTTTTCTTCTGTAAAAGGGCACAAATCCGGGGGACCTAAATAAAACAAAAATGGACACCCACTTTGTTTTCTGTTTTGTCTATTTTAGTAGGGGAACCCTCCCAACCAAAAAAGGAACGGTAAAAGGGCACTACCGGGGGACCTAGTTTACATTAGTTTACTAAAGATGGACACCGACATGGGGAAACCACAAGGTAAGGCTGATTTGCTTTAAGCGGACCTTCGTCTATCAACGCTGAACTGGCTCAGAAAATTCGGCGGGCAAGCGGCGAACCCTTCCAATCATGGCCCATCGAAGGGAACAGTTGCCTCGGTCGAAGGAGCCAAACGCGGCCAAACGCGCACCCCACTTTCCCAAACTCCATCAGCCCAAGTAGAACGATCCTCGCACCATGACCCATGGTCCCGGAAGCTCCTCTGAGCGCTTGCCAGACCATGCCTCAAGGCGAGAAGGAAAGGGTAGCATCAGGAACATCCGGGGAGTCGCCGTGGTCTTGGGCGGGTCCGCGGGTCCATAGCCTTTCTGCGTACAAACAACTTCCGATCGGAACGCACCCTCCGCTTCCATTGCCCCAAGGAACCGGAAGCCAAAGGCGATCAGCTCTTGGGGCCTTCACTCAAAATGGAAACGATGGGAAACCGAATGGTCAGATCCGGTCGATTCGCGTTGGGCAATTCCATGAAGCTGTTGAGACGTCGTCGAGGAATACCAAGAACCGATAGATTCAAAGAAGCCGCCTCGCAAACGCTCACTCCGATTGATCCAAGATCCGAATTTGCGTTGCCATAGATCTGGGTCTGTCTCAAACGAAGTCCCCAAAAGCAGGAGGGGTGTTTTTGGACCCAAGGCCTAAAAAGCACCCAGTCCTTTTGGTTTCCCTTCCTCAACCAAAGGAGAGTCCGGGGCCTCGCAAGCCTGGCATCAAAGGGCGCCAGCTGATTCATGGTGTCGTCTTTTAAGGTTCGACCTCAAAAAACGGGGCTTCGGCCTCCTTTTGGTTTCCTAAAAAAACCGCCAAGAAAGGGATACCAACTCCAGAAAAGACATGTCCAATGGTCTTGAGGGCTAGTTACCACTGGTAACCTGGGGAAGCCATAATGTAACGCCTAGAAGTATACATACATTATTTGTTTCTGCCTGGATGGGCTGCCTTTGCACCCCTTTTTGACAATTGCATCTTGAGGCTTCCTTGTTCCCCACTGCGCATTCCAAGGAACAAGCCCATCCAGAAAAAAAGATCTGAGGGACCGCCCAAAAGAAGAGTCATACTGATGAACAGAATCCTGAACCAGGGATGGACGAAAACCTATGGGGTAAACCACCTGCCAACTGGTGCGAAATGGATTTCGTCCATATTTCGACCGGCGGCCATTGCAACAAAGGGCTCAGCGTACGAAAGGGGTGGAACAAAATGGCGTACCAGGAAACCTGCATGAGCTATGGTCAAAACGCATGATCATCCTACCAAGCAAGCAGGTCTTCCTGTCTTTCACCGCACATGCGATTTTAGAGGGCCCATTTTCTCCAGTACAGTAAGGGCAACCACAAATAATTCAACCTTGGCTGGCGATGTCCCGTCGAAAGGGGAGGACCACCCCTGTTGCCCCGTTAGGGGTTCATTCCCCGCATTCGGCTCAGTCGTTCTTTTCAAAAAGGAGTTGCGATCGAACAGGGATCCTTACATTATACACCTGAACAGTGCAACTTGTAAATGCTGGTTTCTTTCCCTTTATTTTGGTGTTGAAAAAACGCCACATGTTTCAAATGGTTGCAAAATGTATCGATCTTTTAAGGAGCCCGGTCGAATTTGGGGCGTTTCTCTCAGTTTCGATCGACAGAACGGGGCTGGGATTTGCCAGTTTTGAAATTTGTCTTCGGTTGAACTCGAGCAGGGCATCTCAGGGCCGCACCGTGCCAATCCACCTGACATAGAGCTGGTCGTCCACTTCGGGGTCGTTGTTCACATAGTAGATCTGCGCGGGGTCTGAAACTGGGCTGGTCAAAATGGAGGGTTGGCCAATCCTAATCCAGAATCGCTATGTTGGAAGCCGCAAGGGGACCCCTTGCGTCACCCAAGGTAAGGGTTAAGGATTTCCTTTGAACAGCCCAGTTAAATGCATGTGGGGGTGTCTATCACCAACCTGTAAGCAACCTCCGAGATAGGAATTGGATGGACATTACATGACATGACCTAAGAGGGGACACCCTTGCACCACGTAGCTCACCCTAATCACGAAAAGGACCACCGCAGATGTTTGGCATCCTGACAGATGTCTCAGATTCAGACTCCGAGGGTGTCTTGTTGCCGCCAATCAACTTTGGGAAGCACGGGCAGGAGGGGCTGGCAGGTGGAATCTGACATGTTCCAAAACAAATAGCATCAAGATAACTTGTTTCAGGCAGGAAGAAAAAAACAAGGTGACCATAGGTGTCCTTTTAGGGGAAATAGATGGGTTTCCCTGGTAGATGAGAAAAAACCACCAGGTAAACCAGGAATCGCCATCTAATTTTCTACCAAAACCACCAAAAAGGACACCTATGAAGGTGACTTCTTGGCATCCAACCCAGTGGACCTTATGTACTTCTAGTCAAACCAATCAACAGGAGACCTATGAGTCAAAACCCGAATGGGTGTGGCTCAAAATTCAAGAGCTAGGGTTACGCAGGTTTAGTCGTTGGTTCCATGTACCAAGGGGGCCCTTTGGGCACATTTTTTGGAGCCGCAGCCGAATCACGATAGATTTGCCGCTGGTTGATTCATGGCTAAACAGGGCGTCCATTGACAGAGACCCTTTCGGAGAACTGCAAAGGCCTGCAAAAACGGAACGTCCGATGGTTGCTCAGTCCAAAACGGACCCAAAACGGAACCCCAACCTGGTATTAAAATGGTCCACCCAGAACCAAGTATCGAATTGAACAGGCGGCTGCACCCATTTCCTTTTTCGTCCCCGGGGAAAAATATATTTCCAGAAGTGATAGATTCCATTCCAAACCAACCGGAGAGAATAACACATAGTCTTAAGCAAACGGAAGGATGGAAACAATAGGCCTCACGAAAGGTCCGAAACACATTGATGGACTCGCGTCAAGAGACTGTGTCAGCACAGGAAACCAGCCCAGGTCTCTCTGTTTGTGTGCCTTGAGATCCAGGGAGACTGAAGAGCCTTTTTAACGTCCCACCAAAGGAACTCACTTTAAGTTGGCAATCAGAAGGTTCCCCTTCCTCCCGCTAGAGAAGGCACCTCTGAGACTTTACCTGGAAGACCCGTTTCCACTTTCAGGCTCCCTCTCTCAGGTGCCGTGTTAGTGAGACAAACTCTATGATACAGCCACCGCAAGTCGAACAGGGAAACCGGTGAGGGTCCCTCTGTCAGGTGCCGTTGTGGGAGAAAGTGTAGCGAAGAAAACAGAAGGGACGCCGAAAAGCTGGGAAACATTGGGCAACCTCGGTTGCGAAATCTGCTCCCCTGCGAAAGTTTTCAACTTTTAGTGGTTTAATTTTCCATTAGTTGGCAAAAAGTTGTTCAGTCCTAACATCCCTTGGCAAAATGCACCAAAGAAGCCCTGAGCGACTCTACACGGGCGCACCACTCCACCCAAGCCCAGCTCGCTCTCCAGGCATAGCGCGGGATCATAAAGCAGCCCGACCTTGGCGGCCCACAGGGTCCCCAGTTCCCAGGAGACAAAATGTCTGCAATACCTGGGCTGTCCGTTTTCTGATCCCCTGCGAAAATCTCAACTTTTCGTGGGTTAAATGGAAACCCAACCAGTCAACCAACTCAAAAGCTTGAAACCAACTAAAGGGATGGCTGGGAACCACCAAGATGTTGTTGACTTTGATTAATCCGGACGTACTAATCAGCGTGGCCGTTCTAGTGGAGAATCTACTCATGTTAAGAAAGATGCCTCTGATAAGTACTATCCAGATACAACTGTGGAGTTAAGCTCATCATGCCCATTACCCCAAGTAGAAAAGCGAGCCGGAGATAAACCAGTTGATCATTCAGAAGCCGGAAACAGTAAGTTGTAATCCAGATTGGGCAACCAACACATTGGCAACTTGGCAGCCAGGACACTTAGCCAGGACACTTACCCCCTACTACATGTGGCAACCGTAGAAAGGGACACACGGTGTTGCATATTCAAAGCAAGTCGTTGGAGAATGGCATGCTGTCAAAACGAGGGGAACACCTGCAATTGGCGGTGTCTGTTCGATTTGCCTTCAAACCCAAATGGAGTGTTTCCTCTCGAACACCAAACACGAACCTCAGCTCATGTTCTTTGTTTACCTTGCAAATGTGTTCTCCACATAGTACATCTCAAACTGGGAGAACCCCCGTGTTTCTGAGTCCAACACAAGAAAGAGCCATACTTCCTAAACAAAGTAGAATCCCCAAAACTGCTTGGCTTGCATTTAGTTTCCCTCAACACAGAGAGTACCCTCAACAGGAGTACCCTCAACACAGAGACAGACCCATACACCCCAAAAAACGGGAGGGGGGGGTGTCTTTGGAGTCACGAACCAACGAAGCGTCGGCTCGTTTTTTTCCGGCGCTCATGGCGCTTAGGGCGCTCATGGCATCCTCATCCTCCAGGGAGGCGAACTTCCGCTTGGTGCACACGGAGCTCAGCTCGAGGCTCACGTCGCTCCTTGGAGAAGGGCCCCTGGTTTTTTCGCGGATTTGTTTCTTCCGGGGGGATCCAAAAGTCACCCCAGGGCCCTTGTTTTCCGTGTTTGTTGTTGGTTTCTTTTCCGGGAAGATCCAAAAATAACCCCCACCAGTTTGGATGAACATTTCTGGCTGGTGCGTTCGAACGAGAAATGGAGTCTGACCCCCGCAAAAAAAGAAGAAGAAACAAGCCAACTGCTGGTTTCATTTGTTCGGGGTGTTACCACAACGGTTCATTCCCTCATTCCCTGAGAACCAGCAAGATTTGAGGGCCCCGTTTTTGTTTGTGGTGTTTTAAGGGGGATCCAACAGGAACACCCACCATTTTGGGGGTCACCCAAAAAAGAGACTCCCAAGCTGAAACAAAGAACATGGGTTGGACACAAAATGTGAAAAAAATGTTTTGTTCCCCCGCATTCCTTTTTGTTCCCCCCAGATCAAAAAGCTGCCCATATCATGAATGTCCGTTTCAACATCGAATATTCCCGGTAGCCTCCCAAAAAACGGCCGGAACTTGAAAGGACCTGCCGGTTTGCAACATTTTGCTCCAGCCTCTGTCAGGCTCCATAGTTGTATTTGGAAGGGTAAAAATTGGTTTGTTCCGTTGATTTGCAAAATATTATTATGCAAACCAGTAATCAACCATGATAGACAACAGACATTATTTGCAAACACAACGGTACTAGATCGTTTTGTTGACATCTGCTTTTAATTTTGAGGTGAAGAACCAACAAGTGGCAAAGCGCTGATAGCCTATTATCGCTATCGGTCGTTTCTATTCTTTAATGGCGTGTGGGTCAGTGGAGTGAAGGAATCTCTGCACGATCAATGATTCGGTGACGGATTGTAAGTAGTTTTTCTATCTTGCTGTCTTCTTCTCGTAATATGTCCGAGTGTTCCTGAAGTATTCATTTCCCCTTATCATGCGGCAGTCTTCCAGCAGTCTTCCTGGTCTTGTAGTCTTTCCTGTAGTTCTGATTTTCTCCTTTTGTTCCATTGACGTGCAAGACTTCTCTCTACCATGCGGTCTTGTTGTCGGTCAGGTCGACCATGCCTTCTCAAACATGGAATCATGCTAGGGGCTTGCCTAGGCGACTGCATGGTGGGGCGCAGCAGCACGTCCGGGGTGTGTTTCTCCTTGGTTTAACTTGGTTCTGCGAAGTGGAACTCAAGGGATCTGCCCTTGCATCACAAGGCGCGGGATCTGTTCGTTCCGCCTGCTGGGAAAATATGGTTGCATCTATAGGAGCTAATCTAGTTGGAACGACCGAGTTACTTGGAGTCTCCACCCCTACGACAATACAGATGTTTAAAAACATGAGACGTCATGCCCCCGTTTTGTAGACGTCGAGGCTTACATATGCAACCAGGTTCCTCAAAAACAGTCAACTAGAGAATTGGGCAACGTGTAGATTCCCGCATTTGTTTTTTGGCGAACTGTTTTTTTACAGTCGAGTTTTCGCGCAAGGTGACCCCCCTTGCGATTGATTCGTTCTACAAGGCTTCATTGGTAACGACCATGGCCAAGTTTTCGGAGGACCTACAGTGGAAAAGCAGCAGTGTCATTGCAACTCCCTGGTTCCTTCAACGTTTAGGGGCAATCCCAGAAACAAGGCAAGGCCACCACTGGAAAGCCGTAAACAAAGCCTCGCCTATGCATAGTATATGCTTGATTCATATGATGTATGTCTTATTTGGACATAATACGTCGCTTTGTTGGGGAAGCACCGCTTCCTAATCATCTGGTCCTGGCAAACGAATCCACCATCATGACCGTGACCGGTCCTTGAAAGAGTCCTACCCCAAAAAACAGAAACTCGCTCGAAGGTGATGTTTGAACAGCTCAAGTGAACATGTATATGGTCACACCTCCAAGCAAATGTTCATGGGTTGAAGGCATGCAAAGGGTGGAAAGGTGGAGCATGGGTGTGTGTGTGTGAGTATATATATATATATACATACACGTACAAAAACGGATTTGCTCGATCTAAAGGAAACTGCTTCTTTTCTTGGGGGGAGGTTCCCCATTTTGAGACATATTCGAATGCCAAAGGCGGTCTAGGTGAAAAAGACTGAAGTGGCCATGGTGATAAACTGAAGGGGCCGGGCTGTTACGAATGTCGAGGGCTTCAAAGGACTAATCAAAACCCGAATGGGGGTTGCGACCAACAAATCAAATAGCCCTTCACCCCCTTCTCAGGCCCCTTCTCTCAAGTCCTCTGAATCACTCGCCAGTTGGGGGAGGGGAAATCCAAGCTGGGCCAAATACTCGCCAAGGGCCAGAACAAATAAGTCTTTGAGTCTTCGGTGCAAGATTCTCTAGGTCCTCCAGTAGAGAGGCTAGAATAAGGGCACCCGATGTTTTTTTTCTGTAGTCTATTTTAGTAGGGGAACCCTCCCCCAAAGAAAGGGTGAGAAAGGGCACTACTAGGAAAACCTAGCTCTTTTTGCCCCCCCCCCCCACCGGCTGGGGCGGGGGGTTCTCTAGCGTTCGCCGAAACCACCGGAAGGTCTGAGGCAAGGCTCATGGGTGTCAAGTTGGTAATGCCCACCTTCGCGCTGGCGAAGTGGATCATGTGCCCATGGTACACCTGAGACCAAAAAAAGGCGGCCCCTGGCGGCTCGGAGGCCACATTCTTATTTAACAAAAAAAACTGGGGGGGGTCATCAATGGTAGATGTGAGAGGTAAGGGGCAAACTTAATTTATGTCACACAAAACGTATCATCATCATCATCATCATCATCATCATCGTCATCGTCATCGTCATCGTCATCGTCATCGTCATCGTCATCGTCATCGTCATCGTCATCATCATCATCATCATCATCATCATCATCATCATCATCATCATCATCATCATCATTTCGGCTCTTGTACATGCCCCTCGGACCGGACGTTCCTGGCCCCCCTGCCCTTTAAACTGGGGTTACCAACCTGATTGGGCATTCAACCTATATAGACATATCTCATACAAGGGGACTGAAGCATTACACACAGTACTCTCTGATCATGACTTGCCTGGGTTTTGCACTACGGCATGATTTGGGCCCTGAAATGGGTAAGTAAGAGCAACAGCCAAGAGACCCTGATCCAGAGGTATGTGGTTGAGCAATTTGAAGATTCGCCGTGAAACATAGGCTGCACAATCAACCTCGGCCCTCAATGTGATGTTCAAAATGGCCCAAGCACGCTGCGTCATGGGGCGAGTCGAACCCTACGTGAAGCACGCTGAAACGACCCGGCGCATTTCTATTGGAGAAGGTAAAAACGGGCAGCAAAGCTCAAGAAGTGATGAAACAAATCTTGGCTGGAATCAGGACCCCAGCAAAAAAACATCTTTTTTGCGTGGTTAGTGGAAAACAAAGGGGACCCCAAAAAAGGAAAAAAGGAACCGGGGGAGCAAATTCTGGGGAAGAAATGTGCCATCCCCTTCTCCGATGGGTCTCGAGAAGCTCAAGAAGATCCCACCTGCCTGCTCGAACTTTGACCCCAGGTGTCAGGCTTGCAATCAAGCCGTGACTGTCCGTGAAAAAAACCCATCCAAATGATGGGGGCAGAACATACATACTCTTGATTTCCGATGTGGATGTTGCATCGAAGAGCCCCCAAGTTGATTTCAACCCACGTTGCAACCCTGACAGCCCTTTAAATCACACTATTACGCTCTAAAGGCGACACAGTCGAGCAAAACAAGTCGAACAAAATAGATCGAGGTGCCTTGCGTCCCGAGCCTACGTACACATACTGACACCTTTCGAGGAACCCTTGGCAAGCATCTATGCTTGCGTCAGCCCCGCGGCCTCATGTTTCCTTTTTATGTCATTTTCACACAGCAACTTGCATTACAACACTTTAAGCAAGAACCATCCGTTTCTTTCATAGTGCTTTTGAACGCGTGCTGTCAGAGGAATGACCAAAGATAATAATAAAACAACGCCAATGCAAAGGATAATAATATGGATATGTCGATTGTTCT